AAAAGAAATTCCACAGAATAAATGAATGAACGATGACTGTAGTGCAGGCATTAAATGACTATGAGATGAGGAAATCTGGTAAACTTGTCAATTAATCTGCTTTGACCTGTTGAATGGAAAGTCTTTTGTGGTTAAGACACACAGAAAATAACATCACTTTACTATTTGACACCAATCTAACAGTGTTTCACAGTCCATCAAAGTTTGCAAAAAGTATTTTTTATGGAGAAACATAAAACAAATTACACTAGCAGTGTTAAACAGTGAGTTTCACCTGGTGTTACAAATTATTTAAAGATAATCTATTCTAAGTTATTGGCAACATTACACTATTACAATTCCTTCATGGACCTTGCAAAGAGATTTTGGACCAAGGCCAGACAGGATTCATAGAGTTTATGTCTGGTGATCTGGGTTTTGAGAGGAAACGCCTGGACTGATCACAGCTGTGGGTTTCTTCTGCTAAGTCTGACATGTTCAGATGTCAAGTTTCCACTCCCTGTGCCAAATCAACATTGGCCAGACCCTTTTCAGTGCCCCCTACTAAACACCCACCACACTTATTAACTAAGACCCTTTCCTTCTAGAATTCTAACTTCCTTTCTGGCGTCACACTGACACTGAATTTTCATCATGTTCTGTAACATGTTTACTCTGAGAATATTTTTCATTACGGCCTGAACTCAGACTGATGCAAGGATTCTGTTGCTCTCTACTCAGTTTATGCTCCTTCATTTATAGCAAACGGAAGAAAACCCATATGGAGATATTGAGAAATTAAGAATTTCTTCCAAATATTCATCTGCCAACACTGTGATACAAAGTGGAAAATGTAATTGGTAGATAATGTCCCAAACATGTACATCATGACCTTTTGCAGACTTTTCCTTGGGTGTAATCTTATCAAACCTCAACATAGACAGCAGTAAGCTTTGTTAAATGCTGTGCTGCCTACAGTACAGCCTTGTTTTACCTTAATTATGCTAATATATGTTCACTTGTTTTCTTTTTAAGATAATTAAAATAAAAACATCACGTAATATTTTTCCTGATTTGGTTTTAAAGTATTTAATACCATAAAGGTTTGTTACAGAAAATACCAGGTTCCAGGCCATGATCACTACTCCTCACAGTCACGTATTTTTCAGTGGAAAACACTCTGTCATGCTATGGCCA